CACACACACACTCTCACACACACACACCCACACTCTCTCACACACACACACTCTCTCACTCTCACACACACACTCACTCACACACTCTCTCTCACACACACACTCACTCACTCACACACTCTCTCACACACACACTCTCACACACACATACTCACACTCTCTCTCTCTCACACACACACTCACTCACACTCTCTCTCACACACACACCCACTCACACACACACACACACATTATAGTTCTGAAGCGTGTGTGTGTGTGTGTGTGTGCAGTGGCCGTTCCAGTGTCCGGCATCAGGAGGACTATAGCGTCTGAGAGCAGCGTCTCCATCAGCTGGACTGTTCCTCCGCAGACGCAGCACAACATTCTGGAGTATCAGCTGCGCTACAGTCTGAAGGTGAAACAGTCAGACGAGTGTGTGTGTGTGTGTGTGTGTGTTCGTTCCACCTGTGCCTGACCCCTGACCTGTGTGCTGTAGGATCAGGATGACGGATGGCAGTACATCAGCAGTAAAAGCAACTCGGTGGTTCTGAACGATCTGACCCGCGCGTCACAGTACCAGGTGCAGGTTAGAGCCAGAACCGCAGCGGGATATGGACACTTCAGCCCCGCCGCCAACATCAGCACACTACCTGACGGTACACACACACATACACATACACACTCTCACACACACACACTCACACTCTCACACACACTCACACTCTCACACACACACACTCACATTCACACTCACACACACACACTCTCTCACACACACACACACACACTCTCACATACACACACACACACACACACACACACACACATTCACACTCACACACACACATTCACACTCACACACACACACACACACACACACACACACACACATTCACACTCACACACACACATTCACACTCACACACACACACACACACACACACACACACACACATTCACACTCACACACACACATTCACACTCACACACACACACACACACACACACACACACACACATTCACACTCACATTCACACACTCACTCACACACACACACACACACATTCACACTCACACTCACACTCACACACACACTCAAACTCAATCACACACACTCACACACACATACACTGATACACACACACTCGCGTCTCATATCAATCTAACAGTGCGTCTCTCTCAGATGAAGAATCTCCATCGCGGCTGTTGCTCACTGGTGTGCTGGTCGCTATAGGACTGCTCATTCTCATCACCGTGGTGATCGTTGCCGTGTTCTGCTTCAGGTGAGATCTGATTGGTGCTTGAATGAGGGGGCGGGGCCTGGGCTTTTTTGCACTCACTATGTGAACTATGTGCACTCACTATGTAGAAACATACTGCCTTCTATCAAACCAGACGTGTGTCTGTGTGTATCAGTGTGTATGTGTGTATGTGTGTGAGTGTGTGTGAGTGTGTGTGTGTGTGTCTGTGTGTGTCTGTGTGTGTATCAGTGTGTATGTGTCTGTGTCTGTGTGTGCGTGTGTGTGAGTGTGTGTGCTCCTGGGGGTCAGATTCATTGTTCCAGTAAGAGTCTGTTTGGAGACAGCACTGGGTGGACACATCCTGTTCCCTTCTCACACTCTCACACACACACACACTCTCACACACACACACACACACACACACACACACGTTCTTTTTTTCTTTTGTCAAAGGTAAAACTAGTTGACAAATAAAGTAAATACTATTTATGTATAAAGGAAATAATAAAATGTATATATATTATTTTTAAATAAATACATGTTATTTACTGTATATGTCAGTCATTTTTACCTCCGAACGGGCAGGTTTATGTCATTTCTACAGACGGTATCATTTGTCCAGTCTGTTTTCTGATGACATCACTGCTGCTAACAACACAGCGCTATCATGTGACACGAGTGTGTGTGTGTGTGTGTGTGAGTGTGTGTGAGAGTGAGTGTGTGTGAGAGTGAGTGTGTGAGAGTGTGTGTGTGTGTGAGTGTGTGTGTGTGTGTGAGAGTGAGTGAGTGAGTGAGTGAGTGAGTGTGTGAGTGTGTGAGTGTGTGAGTGTGTGAGTGTGTGTGAGTGTGTGTGTGAGTGTGT